TAATGTGAAGAGATATTAGACGCTGAGTAACTCTTGGGGGGGGGGAGGGCAGGAGAAAGAGGAAAATGGATCTTTTCTTGCCAAAATGGTACGTCTCTAAAAGTCAGAACATTCAATAATAGCCTATCAGTTGACGATTCGTGCCGACACGATAATAAGACCCTGCTTTCAGGCTGCAAAAAGATATTTTGACTCCACAGTTTAGAAAAATAAAATACCCCAAAAATGTCATTCTTCATTATCCTCTAAATTCCAATACGCGTACGTATAGCTAATGATAACTGTTTTGAGTAGTCGGTCGTAAATACATTTTAATACCGGATAAAACCCGAAATTTGCAGATAGTAAACTTACTTATGCATTTGAAGAAACTTTGAGGCACGATCTTGAAATAGACAAATACAAGGTAGAACGGAATTCCAGCAAGGATGAAGAGGAGACAGAAGAAAGACTCCAGAGGGGCGTCGTAGAATGGCGCCACGATCAGGTAGATGGCGGCCAGAAAGACCAGAATGGGGATTGGCAAAGGAACCTAACGTCAAAAAATGTCAGTTATCAAACGATAAAGCGCTAACATCTCACGAGAATCAATTGTATACTTCTATAACCCTCATTGCCTTCAGCTTAGGTCACTAGCCGTCTCTATCCTTGTATTCGTTACCTGTTGTTTCTATCTTGTAGACTTTCTCTCTGCGCACGTGCAAACGTTGCAATGACTAGGTAGCGTGCTTTCAGGCTGTTAGAGCCAAGTTGTCTCGCACGAGTTACCACACGAGCCAGCAGGTCACGATGTTAAAGAAGCGTTTAACGTTTTTTTTGTAAAGCTCAAAATACTGTGGTAAAATCAACAGGATACTCGTACTTGAATGAGCTTTATGTTCGAAAAGTCTCGAGTTTCCTTTTCCCTGCTGTTGCTTCCTTTAACAGATCTCTACGAACATTTCAATTTCTTCTTTCGCTTATTTTGCGAGACAGCGGTTGTTTATTTAGTTCTTAATATATATCGATTTAGCCAAGCCTAAAAGCGGAGCTCCCAAGTTCGTAATAGTAATGATAACATATAAGATGTGCATTTGCCAAGTATCGCCTGAGACACCCCTCCATTCGTTTTGATAGTCTCCCCTACCCTACCCGTGCAATATGAAGGCACATACGTACGTACGCTCGGTCAATCACGTGACAACCAAACGGAAAGAGGTTGACCATATTCCATGGGTATGGGGCTCTGCCCCACGCACGCGAAGCGCGCGTTGGAGCCCCGCTGTTAACCGAGCGAGAGGTCAGTATGGGAGAATCTTGACCGAGGTCTCCAGTACAGACCGAACGCAGTGAGGTCTGTACCAGCGACCGATGTCAAGATTCTTCCATACAGACCGACCTAGCTCGGTTAATAAGATGTTTATTATATGGCTGTGTCTTATATGCCAATTTTTTATATTCTTTGTACTTTTTATTTTCGAGACCGGTCTAGATGCCGGTCTAGATGGTAAAATCTAGACTGCTTTCAATATTGATTTCAGCCAACCAAATTCGTGAATTCGGTAGTTCCCAATCCTTGTGAGACACAGCCATATAATAAGTTTTCATTTGAAATTTTGCGCGGGAAAAGGTGCACGGGCGGCCAAAGTTGATCCTTTCACGCATGCCCTACGTTTGACAGCTGTGATGACAAGACCTGTGTACGTTTGAGGTCCCCTAATACAAACACTTCTTAACTAACGCTTTATTTCTCCCATTTTTGACTATCCCTTTCAATTTAAAAATCTGACGCCCACTTGTCCGATTATTTAGGTCCTTTATTTCGCAAGCACGTGACCAATTTCAAACATGTAACTTACCCTGTACGGTCGTTTCATGTCAGGTTTCTTGTATCGGAGCCAAAGCAAAGCAGCCACAGTACAACCGTAAAAAACCCAGGCGGCAAAACTGAAATAGTTAATGAGTGTCTCAAAGCTACTGGAGTCTGGCAACAACATGATCCAGGCAATGATACTCTGTAATAACCAAATAAAAAACTTGTTAATGTAATCTGATGCCTTAATGGCACGTGCAACACAGAAAGTATGAACAAAACGATAATGTTAAAAATGGAATTATATGATAAGCAAAATGATACGCCCAGTTTTAGCCACTGATCGGTTAGAGGACAGATGCGTAAACGACGTCACCATTAACAACATTTTCCTTTTTTATCATGTAAAACAAGCAGATCCCGGTTTGCTGTGTGTCTGTACAGTTGTCACATAAGATGTACAAAAGGTGGTAAATACATCAGTGACACGCTCATCTGGGCCTTGCATGCCACTTTCACATGGCAACACGGATTCTTTTCTAAATAGACTATATCTAGACTATATCACTTGAGATGTCTGCTCGTTTCCTTTTTTGGATTATTTGTAAGGATAAGTATCTGTTGGGTTGTGTCAGTTCCTACACCGACGTGATGCCAAAAATTTCACTGATAAGTGCCAAGAAAACAGTTGAAATAAAACCCCTCTGAATGGTCCTTTCCCCTTTGTATAAACCAGGAAAAATTCTTATTTTTTTTGGGAAGTCCCTCAACTTACTGTGAACAACATGGCAGGAAGCGGTGTGTGTCTCTTAGTATGAATCATAGCCAGAAACTTGGGAAGATGACCCTCGCGAGCAGCGGCGAACACAAGTCTGTAAAAAAATATGTATATATATATATATATATATATATCAATACACCGCTTTTAAAATTGACGTGAAAGAGGTGCTAAAATGAAGTGAATTGTCGAAACACAATGAAACGGAAACTGTTGGGAAAATAACTCGATATAACATTAGGTATAAAAAAAAAAATCCCCCCTTCTGATTTCTTGGTGCGTGCTTCATCCCGGCCTTGGGGAAAGAACAACGCGCAAAATATACAACTACTGTTTTATTCTATTGCTTCGTAGTCGAAAAATGTCAGAATTGTATCGAGAATTCAGGGCCAGAATGATAGAAAACGTGTCGGCAATTAAGGTTTTTTAAAAAGAACATGAGTCATTTAATTTCCTACAATAAGGTGAAAAGACCATGCTCTCTAACGTCAGTTAAAAAAAAAACTTAACAACTTGACTGAATTTATACCAGAAATCACATAAACAAACTCGATGTGGTTGTCATATCAGTTTCCTTCAGCAAAGTGTCGTATCAACCGAGAAAAATGTTAGCTCACTTGCAGAAACGTTAGCGACATATATGTCCCAGCACGTGAGCTTTGATTGCACGGTCAGTTTGGCGAGCCGTAATTCACTGTATGGCCCACTAAATTTAAAAGTTTGTTTGAATGGAAATCTTCCCCCTATATCTGAACTCGGAGGTCGAACAAACATCCTACTATCCTTGTTTTCTCGGTCCCGGCGTACTGCAATTTACGGAGCCTTGTTTTTACGCTGGGATTTATGTCCCGTGCAATCGAGCTAGAAAACACGGTTAACTTACAGTACGGACCTCGAAGAACTCGGTTAGTATTAAAGAGGTATTGAGTATAATATGGGCCGATATACACTTCATTCCGTGTAAAACAAACTTCCATAGAGTTACTTGAGAAACTACCAATGAGAGTAACCACCTATTAGATACATTTTCTTCAAAATGAATGATATTCTATAAGAAGTAGCTTTATTAATCTCAAAATCACCTTCCACTGCTAAAAGCAGACCCATTAGCGGCACCAAAGGTGGACGAGGCAACAAATATGGGAATCACCCAAGCCATCACTCCGTATAAACGATCAGCCAAAGTCTGACATAAAACAAAGAAATAAACAAACAAAAACAAGAAAAAAAGTGGAGACTTTACAATTCGAAACGGCTACAACACTCAGAACTAGGGCGCAGATGGCCGACGGCTTACCACTTTTGCATGAAAACATGTAATTTCTGCAATGAATGAATGCCATGAAACTAATTGGATTAAAAATACTAGAAATAAATAAATGAATAAATTAATCCCTTTACTTACCACGGCAACTGCGCTGGAATTCATGATTTCCACGGGTGTCAAGACGGTCAGATAGGCGATATTTACCAGCACATAGCAAACTGTCACAAGTGGAATACCAATCAAAATGGAAAGCGGCAGGTCCCTTGAAGCAACAAAGAGTTTTTTTTATAATTAATACATAAACAGCATATAGCAACTTTCTGTGGATTGTCGAAAATAATCCGGAATTGCTTTGGTTTGCTTCACTTTGCGTTGTGATTGGTTCCTAAAATTCGTGCACTCTCTCGACCAATCAGATGCAAAAATAAAACCAATCACGACTTGCTCTGCCCCATTTTCCCGCGGTTTAGACGGTTTGCTTTTGTTTTCCCGCGCTTTAGACGGTTTGCTTGTTTTTATATTGATTTGTTATTGAATCTTTTGTTATAACTTAGGTTTTGGTTTTACAACACTTAACCGAAAAGCGCTCTGTAATCTTCCATTTTGCGTAGTAAAAGTACAAAAGGGTACTTACCGATAAGGATTTTTCAATTCTTCTGTCACGTAATTCAAGTTATTCCTATAAAGAGCTAAACAGCTTCTTCAAAAGATACTCAACTTACGTTTATACTGTTTTCCTTTAAATTTTTGCATGGGAAATTGACACGCGGCTGGCCAAAAATGAACCACTTGCACATTCTTGACGCTTGACCGCTGTGTTTTCCAGTTCAGGGTAACCCTGCCGCTATCAATACTCTCTACTTTGATACCTTCGTCGAAAAAGTTTTAAACGCACCCACAAATATCACTCTAAAACCATGAGCGGTGATGAGTCGCATTTGACAACACACATACAGAAAGCTCTTTCGGGTAAGGGAGAATGGGTATTATTATTTAGGAGGGGCAATCACGTAATACGCAATCTAAAAGGAGAAGCAATACTCTCGATTCAAACAGCAAACCAAGTGAAGGCATCACTCCAGCTCAAAGTGAGCCTTAAAAAAATTCTTAGTGTTTATTACAATAATTTTTTAAAGGGGACGAACATTCACTTCAGGAAAGGAAATAAAAAATGCATTTTGTCATGTCCAATTAACGAAATGAACTTTTTGAGATATAAAAAGTTTAATTGTCCTAATAAACATAAGTTACCGTGTACTGTATTAAAAAAATTAAATTTTTGTGGAAAGCTCAGCGAGGACAGATGAAAAGTAACGAACTAACCAGCCGTCATAGGCCCAAAGTCCGTTGTAAAACGCGAATCCCACCAAACCAAGGCTACTCGTTGTTTTATGAAAGGAGTTATCAAAACTCGCCGTAAAACCTGCAAAAAACAATTGTTAAGTTAAACAAAAGTGACGTAAATACTCAGTTTCAACTGACATGCTGGCAACATGATGCAAGTCCGGGAGATCCCAGCGTTTTCATGGGTCGGAAGCCTCCTGATGTCGTAACGGCTTCTATGGCGGATAATCCAGAACTTCTTCAATCGGTGATCACTTGATTTAATTCTCGTAACTTTAGTGTTTGATTCAAGGGGGAAATCGTAAGGAGAAATAAGAAGCTAATCACCCTTAAAGGTTAGGGGTCAGAGGATCAAGTAGGGTGTCGTGAGAGCATTCAAGTTATTTCAACAACCAATCATAACAAAGGAAAGAATCATAGAAAGCCAATGAGAACTCAAAAAAAACAAAAAACAACAACAACAACAACAACAATACCACCCGCGCGAAAAAGGTGGATGTCCAAGTGACCAATGAGCAAACTTACCTTGACCGAGGCGAACAAGGCCAGTAATTATCAGCATAACAATGGCCACCATCTTACAAACTGTGAAGACAACTTGCATACGCGAGGCCCATTTTACACTGGCAATATTCACGAACGTGATGATTCCTGAAATGAAACAGGAAAAATTTAGACAAGAAACACATTAACTTATTAAACAAGGGATCAATTTGCTTGTTTCTCCAACGGTCTGAGTTGTAGCTCTTTTCTCTGACTACAAAAGCTTCAGTGCTCCTCTAATAGGATTAATGCGAACCCAAAAGGTTGTCTTATTGGCCGGCGGTGATAAAATATAATAACTTGCGTTAAAAAAAGCCATCGCAAACAATGAAAAACTAAAAGAAAAAATAATGATTCCGATTCTTGTGTTTATACCTAAAGGTGCGAGCGCGTGAGTTACCGGTTAAAAACCGGGTTTTGGTGTGGGCAGGAGGCGCAACTGAAGTTGGAAAAATCCTATAGTCGAAAGGTTCAGTGCGTTGATTTTGAGTTCGAGGCTTTCATGTGGAGTATGAGTGGCAACAAAGTAGGACACAACGTAAATAATCACGATACTACCAGTCAGTAACACAATAATGTTCCAATGCAACCAAATTTTTACAATTTGTTGCAGGGTACTCGTGGAGTTTGAGGAAAAAAGAACCTGTTTAACGATGTATCTGCTAGTAAGCTTGTTCGAAACATGAAAAGAAAATAAAAAAAGAAAAAAAAAAGGAAGAGAAGAAAGAAAGAAAAGAAAAAAAAAAGAAAAAGACCAAAATGACTGTTTACCCCACCGTTGAACAAATACGTCATTCATGCGATGATTTTCACAGAAAGAAATTCTGGGACAGAATGCTGCGAACGATTTTTCATCGCGCAAGTGTAGAACAATAAGCAGCACTAAACTTAATCAGAGACAATTCTAGCCGTGGTTAGCAGTAATCGAGAAGTAGGGTCAAGAATTATTTGTACTTACTTGCGAATGTCACATAAGTACCAAGCCGGTAAAAGCAAAGTTAGTATAGACTAGCTTTTCTGTTTCCGGACTCAATTTACTCGAAAACGGATTGCTTCGTTGGTTTCCTGCCTATCCGCACTGGCAGATCACACTAAATTTTTTCTCTACATTAAAAATTTCAAAGCTGTCAAATTCCGTTCACGCTAGATCTACTCCTAAGACTGGTCGGCATTGTTTCTGAATGGAAATTCGCAACAAAAGACATCTGTTTCCTTCTTGGTAAACCAGAGGTAACTTTTACGACACGTTTAGCACGGCCTTGTTCGTTTATTTAGTTGATTTTGTCAAGTTCTTACCCGAAACAAATTTTGTCAGCAGTGCGTTTGAAGATTTGTCCACTTATGTCAAAATATGTCAAGTCGCGACAAACCATCTGTACTTGTAAAGTGTTGGTAATGACAGAAAAAAATTGTCAAAATGAACAATTTTCGTGCTATTGTAGAAAGGCCCTCCTTCACCGTGGCGACAAACTTTCAGAAACTGATAATTGACTAATCGCCGTCTCTCACGTTGAAAAAACAAATTTTGTGTATCGTTTCTAAAAGGGGATGGTCTAAAGCCCTTACCAATACACAAAGCCGCCAATAACCTCACCAATATATTCAAGTCTTGCCGATCCGAATCTTGACATGCGGAAAAAAATGGCTCGACTACATAGTGTCCAAAAGCCAGAGCAATAATCGCCATTTGTGAAGGTCTGAGAAGTGTAACCGATGTCCAACTGAATAAAAAGGCAGCTAGACCACCGAATGCTTCCAAGATGTAGGTGAACTCCCCGCCGCATTTCAGAATCGCTGTACCTAGCTCTACGTAACACAGAGCACCCAACATGGCGATGACACCACATCCAGCCCAGACGATCAAAGTTAAGCCAGGCGATCCTGCATTGGTGAATACTCCACTGGCCGAGGCAAAGATACCACTACCAATCATGGTACCAAGGATTAGGGACACGCTTCCGATCAAACCAATCTGTTTCTGAAGGTAAACAGCTTTCTTCTCCATATCTGCCCCGTCGGATACGTTCGTGTAGTGGTCTTCCAGCTGGTTTTCAAGCAAATCGATAGTGCTGGCGGCGCTGATCGGAGCGCTCGGCTCCCGACGATTTGTTACTCCTTGTTCTTTCATTTCTACCAGAAATCTTTGATACTCAAGACGAAGACCGCGTGTTTTGCAGAACAATTAAAACGGTCACCTTTCCAGCAAGTACGCTATATTTGCTATGCGCTAATCCCGGGTTAATAATTAGTTTTTTTTTAATGGCACTTTTGTAATTTGATCCCAATGGCGCTTGTTGGTCGCCGCTGTGTTACATGCTCTTCAGAAGATTATCAGGTGATCATAAAACAGTTTTGTAGGTAGTTTTCGTTTGTAAAAAGGCACCTAAACTCTTGTGTTTCTACTGGAGAATTCACATCAAAAGAGAGTGTGAACATGAGCTATTTCAACTGATATCGGCTTTTATTACACCAATTAACAATCAATAGATAAACCAGACAAACGAGAGAATTTGCGGGAGCAGGTAAAGTGTTCAATTTCCATGCTGAAAAGTCACTCAAAACTTTTTTTTGGAGGGGGCGGGAACGGGGAGGAATTTCGTGACTTGAACTGAAAGGCTGTAAAAGGGAGTTAAATTAGAAACGGCAAAGGCTTTGTCCCCCCCCCCTTTTTTTTATCTTTTCACCTTGTTTCTACCCCCACTGATCAAGAATCTGGGAAAAAGATTTACTATTATGAATTTGTTTGTTGCTTTGTGTCTGTCTGTTTGTATAATTAGGTTAACCAAAGTGAAACATTTTTCTAAGCAAATCAGTTTTTAATCTGTAGCATTTTTCTCCTTTAAGGCAAATCATACATGACTCTTGCACTAAAAACATACTTTGAACTTCGAGTGCATTGGGTATCTTCTGTAATTTAAGGAAAACTTTTCATTAAAATCAAAATTAAAAGCTGAGCCGAAGAGTTTTTTGTGAGACACTGGCAAATATCGTAATTGTAAACTGCAATAGCCTAGATCAATAATTATTTTATTATTGGAAAACAAGTTTGGGTTTTTATAATTATTTTCAAGAATCTCCCTTTGACAGCTCATGAATGAGATCATTTATTCTCTACAGACAAGCATAGACACAACAACCCATGAATAGAATTCATTGTGCAACAAAGCTGATTTAGTATTGTGCGTAAGCAGACTATAGGTTCCCTGCAAGGTCATATGACAGGCTTTTGCAGCAAATGAAAAGTAAGAGAAAATTCCACAAATGGTAACATTAGTAATCAAGATTAAAATTTGCGTTCAAATTTCAATAAAAGAAAGATGTTGAATGTGAATCTTTTGACTTCACAATGATGTCTGTTATAACTGTTATAAAATTTTGTTTTATGTTTTTTTTTTCTTTCACAGGTCAAGAATATTTAACAATTATTCCACGAGCGCGCGTTGGATATGAGATGATAGATAGCCAACGAGGCGCGTAGCGCCTCGTTGGCTATAATCATCTCATATCCAACAAGCGCGAGTGGAATAATTGTTTTATTAAAAACGCCCCCAAGAAATTATTATTTTGTAAGAAGAAACTGGATTTTTTAGCTCCCTTTTGATTTTAAGCTGACGCGTACGCTTACCATATTTGTAGATTATGGTATATTGGCTGATATACCATAATGGCTAAGCCAATAAAAAGTCTTGAATTGCATTATCCAATGATCCAGTTTTTAATAAT